TCTCCACTGGCCCTAGCTATTCAACAGGCACATGGGAAACCAGTGGACCATCCCCACCCCCAGTGTGAATTGGAGTGTGCTGCTTCCCCTATTCTGGTTTCCTGCCAACAGATTTCAGTGCACAAAGGAAATGAGATTACCTAGAAGAAAAAAGGAATAAGGGGCATACACCATTCACACAAACCTTTGTCTGTTTCACTGAAAACAGTATCAGCTTTGCTCCAACTCACTAAGTTTCAGAGCTCTCTCACTTTTCTCTGTGTTGCATTTGACATCTTCCAGTCTTCAAGTTCATAAATCCCGTTCTGTACTTTCTGGCTGCCACTAAACTGTCTTGTGTCTGCCTGAGGTACTCATCCCATCAGAGGCAGAGAATAAAGGGGGCCTCCAGCCATCACTTGGACTGCAGACCAAAACAGCCATGGCCTCCCAGGGCAGCTCACTGTTGTCAATGGTTTGTGATGACAGATTTTGATGGTGGAGCTGGGTTCTCAATGCAGGACAGATTCCATAGCACTGGGAGAGCTGGAGACAATTCTGGGGTCGGTTTCACTGTACAGAAAAGGTTCCTCACTTATTAAAAGGATATCTGCAACATGTAGCTCCTGGAATCTGTATTAAGGGGCTCACCTCTCTCCATCACCGCTCCACAGGTGATGTCAGGCAGAAGGATGGCTCAGAAAAGTTCAAGAGGTCACTGCTGCTAGTGCACATGGAGCCCATGAGGGTGACATCCTCAATCCACACACAATGCAGAACAACAGTAACTGAGAAGGCACCTAGCTGACAAGAGCTCCAGGAACCCATATTAATAATCTTTCCATAGCAGCACCAATTTGACAAATTAGGGAGGGGAAAACATACTCCTTGACTCAAAAAAACATGTTAGAGTTTTAAATTGGAGCCCTTAGAATGGGTTACCCAAAAGGTGAATAAAATGAGTCACTAACATGCACCCTATGATGCTTAGTGAAGGAGCAGCTGGGCTTCCAGGTGGCTGCTTTGCAAATCTCTTCTATAGTATCCATTCCACTTTCTCTCCTGGAAGCAACCTGGGAGCCCTCGCCCAATAGACTTTTACAAAGGACCCCTTCTCAGAGTGATGCTTCAAGAACAGGGGAACAAATCCATGGAGAAGTCAATACTTCACAAGCTGCTTTGCATTTCTGTGCTGCTACAGAACCCACAGAAGGAATCAGCTAATCTGAAACACTTTTGTCTTTTCTAGGTAAAATGTGAGAGGCTTCAGGTCATGCTGCATGAATGTAGGATCCTTTCTTTGTCACATCCTGAGTTGCTCTGAAGGAAAGGAGACAAGGGACACCTTTTGCTCAGCATGAAAACTGGGATTTGTCTTGGGAATGCAGCTGAGCACAGGAAGAAAGGCAGCAAATTAAAAATGGCATCAAATGGTTGTGATTTCTCCTAATCTTCTATCTGATGGAATTGCAATTGAAAATGCCACCTGTGTCCACAGATTTAAAAGGAGGATGGCACTGTATTCTGGACCACCTTGGGCTCCTCCAGGGAGGTGGATTACATGGAATTTGGACTTCAGTTGCTTGGCTGCTTTTAGAACACTCCTAGAGGATGTTGCAGAGGGAAGGTGCCACTAGATCCGAGAGAACTAAAACACAGCAGCCAGGTCCTTTCAGGTACTAGGGCTTTTCTTTAGGCTGCACTGGAAAAAATATTTTAAAATCAGGTATTTAGCACCCAGAGAAGGAACTAACTGTATTAGAAACTCATAAGGAGAAAACTTTTCAGACTAGGTTGTACTTGCCATTGGTTGCTTGTGTTAGAGACTTAAGAAGGACACTGATGTCTGAGTCAGGGAGAACTTGGCACTTCACGGTCAGTCTCATAAGATATATCCATAAGAAAATAATGTTCTTATCATCGTGAATCAGTTCCTATTGATTATGAAATGAAGAGTCCAGGGCTTGGCTAAGGACAGTTGCACACACAGGCTGTTCCATGGTTAACCTGGAATTATGAAAATCCACTTCATCTTGTCCTTTTGTACTTTTCTCAGCATCTGGGGAATGAGGGGGAAAGGAGGGAAGGTTCACAGCAGGCTGCAATTTCAGGGAACAAAGAATGTGTCTATCCCTAGTGCAAGAGGCCCCTATATCTGCGGCAGAACAGAGGCACTTTACAGCTGTGGCTTGTGGCAAACGTGTATTATTAGAATTTCCCACATCCTGCACATCTGGTGAAATACTTGTGGATTGAAGCTCCATTCCCTGTGATGTATGCTGAAACTGCTGAGCCAAATTGCTATTATGCTGACTTTCTCAGCTATGTGGACTGCTGTGAATGTCACAAGATTCTCTTCTGCCCACTTCAGAGTGGGTAGGAGAAGGGCTACAATGTTTCCCCACCCTCATACATGTGGTAAGACACCACCACAGTATTGTCTAAATGGACTGATGCAAAAAGTGTAACGTAGAATGGCTTGTGATGCAGAAGTAGCAGGTGAACTGCTTTCATTTCCAGTCTGCTCCTATGAAGATGCTTCTGGTTCTTTGAGCACTCATCTGGTTCATACAAACTCTCTTTGCGAGGAAACTGGCATCTGTCATTACAATGGTCCAGGCAGGATGTGAGCATGAAAATCCCTTGAGAAAAGTAGCAGACGTGTCTCACCAGAGCAGAGATTTCCTGCCATTCTTCTGGAAGGGTTTTCTTCTGCAGAAAATGAAATTAGTCCTATTGTGAGAGCAGAAGAAAGTAAAGATTTGCTGTGAGCCAAGGAGCTGCAGGACAGTACGGTACTTAGAGGATGTCTTGGTCACTAGTGAAACAATATTCTAGAGCCTTTCATGAGACAAACATTTGTGGGCTTTCCAAGTGATGAAACAGACTTGTAAAGGGACAAGATCCTCTGATAGTTCCAGAGTGCTCTCAAGGATTTATGATAAAGCCCATGGGTGAAAGAAAATAACATTTTCTGAACCACAACTAGAGCCTTTGGAAGAGATTGACTTACCAATTATCTAAATATGACAGAACTTGATCCCCTTAGCAGTGATGGGCACCTGCTACCATACTACATTATTACCATTTATTATTTGTATTGCAATAACACCCAAAGACCTCAATTAGAATCTGGACCCCTTTGTGCTAAGTGTTGTACAAACACATAGGAAGACACAACCCGTGTCTTGAAGAGCAGGAAATGAGTGTAACACACAATAGAAAGGAAGGGGAGGTAGGACAAAGGAAATGGTGATAAAATCTGACTGTAGCATACCTTAGCAATAAGCACAATGTGATGACTATACATCATTTTAAAGTAAAGTAAAGTAATTTTTATTTTTTACTAATTCCAACTGCCTTCAACCCAGCATCATTAGTTGGCTACAATCAGAATCTTTGTGAAAATTTGCAGAGCCACAATTTATGGCAGCACTGGCTGCTATTTTCATTCTTAGGTATTTCTCATGAGATACTTGTGATAGGTATATGGAGACATGAGTTTTGCATGTCTGTAGATGCTAAGAATTCTCCAGCTGATATTAGGCCAAAGAGATTCCATCTTGAATTTCTGGTACTAGAAACAAGAGAGAAAATGCTTTCATTTAACTGTCCTTAACAGACAGGAAGATTGCCACAAACATCTGAGAGGTGCTGGATACATTTGCTTACATCATCTCCTTTTTGAAAGGTCAGAGGCATAAGGAGAGAACGTTTCTTGAGCCTGAGGAAAGTGATGCAAATTCTGTTAACCATTTTAAAGGATGGAAGGAACTCATTTGTCTGGTATTTTCCCTGTCTGAGGAACTAGTTAATTCTATCTCCAAAGGAACCTGGGGACATGGCTGCAGGAAGTCAGTAACTTGATTTGTTAGTATAAGGATTTGCCCAAGGACTTACTCCTTCCCTTTGGTACCTATTGTAGTATCCAAGCTGTGGAAATTAGGTCAGTAAAGGTGTTATGTTCCGCTAAAGAAGTTTGTTGGCTTTGGGGCAGAAGTGTACTGAGCTTAGGAGCCTGTCTTTTCTTTGCTTTCTTTAAGGCCAATTCCATTTTTTGTCTGAACAGGTCAGATACAGAAGTTGCCCCTTCCCAAGGAACATCATTCTTCTTAGAGAACACTGCACTCTTGGCATGGATTTTTAGTGAGGAGGCCCAGATATTACTCTTCTCCTTAGGGAGTCTATCTGATTCACTGAATATAACCAGCTCAGAGCCTTGACCACCACCTCCAGTTCTGTGGCTCATGTACTATGCATTAAAACTCCTCAGGGAGGCAATTTCAAAGTCAGAATCTGACTCTGAAGAGGATGAAGAACTTTCTCCTCCTCCACAGAGACTCCAGGGGAGATGGACTTGGATTTCTCTTTGGCTTCTCAGAGAAGGAAGATCGGTCAGGCTTCCTTACATGAGAGCTGGGCTCTCTGCTTTCTTTGTGAGAGGGCTTCTTGCTCTTGTGGTGTTTAGTAGAGGACTAATCTCTATGGTTAGGGTGAGTGGCAGGGAAGCTGTAGAGATTCTGATTTCCCTGAGGCCTAACTGAGGTAGCCTGCTAGCTTCTAATCAGAAATTAAACAGGCAGAGGAGGGAAGGGTCACTTGCACTACTAGACTCTGCAGCCAGTTGATATGGGAGCTGGAAGTCTGTTTTCACACATTACCGGCACATGCCATCTGCTGCTGCCAGTGGCCATTGCAGATACAGCAGTTGATGTGGACCCTCTTACTTATCTTTGTTTTTCCATTGCCTGAGGGGTGAACATCAGCAACCTCTCCTCACTAAGGGCAGGTCTTCACTACGGGGGGGGTCGATTTAATAATAATAATAATAGCGTAGCTGAATTCAACGTATCGGAGCCGACTTACCCCCCTGTGAGGACGGTGGCAAAATCGACCTCCGTGGCTCCCAGTCGACGGCGCTTACTCCCACCTCCGCTGGTGGAGTAAGAGCGTCGATTCGGGGATCGATTGTCGCGTCCCGACAAGACGCAATAATTTGATCCCCGAGAGATCGATTTCTACCCGCCGATTCAGGCGGGTAGTGTAGACCTAGCCTTAGGCAGAGTGGAAACCAGGTCCTGAGAGCACTAGCAGCAGGGACCCCAAGTACCAGGAAGACTTCTTTCTTCTGATATATCCTTCATCCTGTCCATCACTTGTCTGCCAGTCACCTGAGGAGGCCCTAGTAGCACCGATTATTGGAACTGCAGTGTGTACTGCAGGAATGATAGGGAGGCAAATGTAACCGGGAAGGAGAGAGATCAGATCCTAGCAGCCTGTTCAGTGTGGGGTCCAATATAAACAGTAGGACCCTGTGTGTTGCTTGGGAACATGGTCTGTTATAATTGTTCCATTTGGCTGTTTGACAGGAGAAAGAATGGAAAATATGTGAAAATCTTGTTGGTTATTTAATGAACCTAGGAACTGAGCAGGGCCTGAAGATATTTGCTCTGCATTTTAGGGAGCAGTGGGTTTTCAACCCTATGCAATCTCTAGCTGCTGATGCACTCCTCTAATGCAGGCAGAGTTATCTTCATAGCACTAGCCAAACTTTGACTGGTGTGGTGCAACAAGCCACTGAGGCAGCTGATAGAAGCCACCTGTTCCTTGGGCTTCAGGTCTGGTTCTAGAAACATCAGCCAATCATGAAAAAGTTTAGAAAGCAGAAATAAATGGGAGGAGAAAGCAAAATACAAAAATAAGCCACACCAAATACAAACCTCCAGCAATGAAACAACATGACATTACAGTCAGATTTTAAAATAACTGAAAATATAAACCATACAAACAAAATGAAATTACTTTATTCAAACTGAGTATTTCCATGGCTTCCTGCCAAAATTCAAGACGGCAGCCAATGAGGATGTCTCTCATCACATGGTCTGTTTGTCTTCTGTCATTGGTTGTCATGTGGTGTGAGCAGTGCTCATAGAGGGCAGAGAACTGTGTCTGTTACAGGACTAGGATGGGCTGAAATGGCTGAGTGGATGAGGCTTCATGTTCAAACTTAGACCTTGGGAAGCACTATGCAGACAGCTAGAGGACCTCTGTCTTATGTGAGTGTCTCTATGGCTGGTGGGTGGAAGGAGGTGTGGGAGAGGAGAAGGAATCCTGGGGGCTCAGCAGCAGAAGCTCTGAGAGGGAATGGTGCCCCTCAGCTCAGAGCCTTACCACCAGTTCCCACAGATACGTAACTTCTCTCCTCTCCTCAGAGAGTTCTTTGGAATGTGCAGCAGGGCCTCACTGTCAACCTCATCTGGGTGTTAAAGGGATGGTGGTGTGATGAGCAGTCACTGCTGCTTCATCCCTTGCCTCGCACTCAGGAGCGGTGCACTGGGCTTCTCACCTGGTGCTCAGAGTTAATCCATCACTGCGAGTAGGAGCTGGAAAAGACACAAAGCAAAGCCTGTGAGTGACCTCAAAGGGGCATTCAGAGTGTAAAACACCACTGCACTGACCCAGTGGATGCAGAAGTAATTAGCACTAGAAATTTGGAACTCCCTGTTAGACTGCAAACCACACGAGAGCTACACACAAATGCATAGATCAATATGCTAAGCCTGTCTGAATGAGCTAACAGCTTAAAAGCCATAAATACTTCTCACCATCCCCTGGATAACTACTACCCCTTCAGCTGCTTATGACTGGCTCTCCGCCTGACCCATCTGCTCCTCACAACATCCTCCCACAGCCATGCTACTGAGTCTTCTTTTTCCTCTTCAGTATATTTGGTCTCTTCCAATCTGTGTCTTTTGCTCCTTTGCTTGCTGGTCGGGAACCTCTAGCCCCACAAAAGAAGGAGCTGAAGGGCTCGTTGCTGCAGGGGGTGAGCTCTCTGAATGAATAATTTGGGGGATGGGAAAGGATTTTTTCCTTCCCACTGTTCAGAATGGAGTTTAATCCTGAGCTCTGCATTTTCCCAGTTTAATAGGTTTAAGGCAAAACTCTGATGTCATCTTCACTTATTTTACTTTAAAAAATTTATTTGATGTTCATTTAAAAAAAAAAATCCAGACGGCCTAGCAATGCACCATGTTTGTTTTGAATAGGTCATGTTTTTTGGTTATTCAGGTGGGCAAAGCTTTTCCTGTATATTTAGGAAATCAGTTTGCTCCTAGACTTGAACACTTGTTGGGAGCTGTGTTTATTAAAAATAAATGCACTTGGAACCAGAATGCCAATCATGTGCACTTGGACTGGTTACTGGTCTAGAAATCTGCATCTAGCATCCTATTGTCCCTCTGTATTCACCTGCTATATTAATGCCAGTGCAATGGAAGGGAAATGAAGTCACACAAGCCATCCATCCAACTTTGCCACTCATCCTCCTGCTCCACAGAGACTCCCTTGCCACTCTTTTCGCATGTAACCCTGTAACACAAGTGGCCCTTCCACACACACTAACATGAGCTCATATTTCACGAGTTCTTTGTGCCTGGATGTCTTGAAGGCTCATGCAGGGAGGGGCATTCCTAGGCATATGTGGAAATTGATGAGTCTCTTTCTTCAGAGTGGCCGCTGGGCACTACCGCAATACAAATATTAAACAATCTAAGTAAATCCATGGGGCATACCCCTTTCAGGCTGTTGCTGGTCTGTTCACCATCCTCAAATGGGTGCTGGGTGACAAAGAGGGACAGATTTCTTGTTAGCCAAAGGAACCTTAGAAATAGGCTTGGAATTAGATTGTCTCAATCCCCAGACTATGATGATTGAGTCTCTTTGCTCAAAAGATTCATGGGACTGAGTCACCATGTATAACAGACTGAATCCCCTTATCCTCCACTTCCCAGGAGTTGTTAGAACATAAGTCTGTCTGGCTATCTATCCAGGTACTACTATGTCCTCCATGATTGTAACATCTGAGCACTTCATAAATATTAATGAATTTATCCTCAGAGCACTTCTGTGCAACAAGGAAGTTGCATCTCCATTTCACGGATAGGGCACTGAAGCACAAAGGCCATGTGATTTGCCTAAGATAACACAGTGAGTCTGTGGCAGAGCTAGGAAAACAAATCTCTTGAATTCTAGTCTTAAACACAAGATCTTCCTCCTTCCTACATGGGCTGATAACGCTAGAAACTCTTCTCTCTTGGCACCATGCAGAGGGACTTTCCAATCCTACAGTGTTGCCCATGCTTCCCTTGGTAACATACAGCTTGAGTCTGAAAGGAGGTAAATTGATAGACAATATATATATCCTAGAGTGGATGACATTAGCAAACAGGGACAGCTGACAAGTGAAGACCAACCTGGCCCCCTTCCCCACCTTTTCTGGGCATAAGTCCAATTTGGACTATGTAGGCTCAAAAAAGCAACAGCACCATGTCACAAAACCCTACCTGGGTGTGTAACACAAATGGGCTGCCCACAGCTGCAACCATTTGAATGAAATCTCCCTGCATGAAAAGGCTGGTGAGCAGCCTCACTAGGAAGGAGAGACAGGCTTGGGGAGGCCTGTGTGACCCCTACTGTCTGCCCCATGCCACAGAGAAGACAGAGATTTACCTTCCCATCCAACACCACTACAAAGTCCCTGTGCTCTGGATAAACCCAGATCTGTTTCCCCTTATTCACCCCCACTCTGGCACTTTGAGTGCAGTAGGTGAGGGCCTGCAAGGATTCTAAAAATTAATACTGGCCACTCCAGGCTGGTATTAAACTCCCAAGGTTATAGCTTTTCTCTGACCTTGGATGGGTAGATGCTGCCACCACCCAAGTGCAACCCCCCCATCACCACTTTTTAGAACCCAGGAAGGCGCACTTGGGAATTCCTTCCTGTCAGGTACCATCAAGCTCTTTCACACACACACACCCTCTGGGGAAGAGCTGAGAAAGAAAACAAAGGAAACCTGCTGTTGCCAACAGCTAATTAAACAACATATGCACAAACCTCTTAGGACACAAAAACCCAATCCTGTTCTTAAAAAAGGTAAATTTTATTAAAAACAAAAAGAAAGAAAATACATCTGGAACTTAGTCTTTTTGCTAGGTCTTAAAAAACAATTACAAAAATTAAGCATCAAGATAGCTCTCTTGAGGTTCAGCTTAAAGGTTACAAGCAAAACAAAAGCATTTGGGGGTTAGCACAGAGGAGTCCACAAGCCAATAAGCAATAAAAGAAAATACAGGTCTGTCGCATCTTAGGCGCATTTAACATGTGCGATTTCAGCTTTATGCGGTCGGCAAAAACAAAACAAAACAAAAAAGAAAAATAACAATTTAAATACTGTTTCTGTAGTGCGAGCGATTCCGCCCGCCATTACACTCAATGTAATTTTGACTATACGCGATTTTCGCTTTAGACGCTGACTGCGGAACGTAACCCCAGCGTAAGATGAGACAGACCTGTAACCCTAATTGCATCTTCCTAGACATTCCTGATCTACCTACATATCTGGGGTTCATCAGTAGTTCTAGGTATGATTTGATGATTTTTCATACCTGGTTTAAAGCTTTTTACAGCATAGTTTCAGTCCTGTCCCTGCTTAGTCCCCTCTCTCCAGAGAACAGCAACAGACAGAAAAGGGAAGTTTTTCCCCAATTTTAAAAAGTTCTATACCTCCCATTGGCTCTTTTGGTCAGGTGCCCATTCCCTTCTTTTTATCTATGGGCTTTTTTTAACCCTTTACAGGTAAAGCAAGTAGAGAACAGCAACTAACAGGGATTTTATAGCTAACTGGCTGGCTGGGTGTCCATAAAAGGTAGCTCCCCCTGCCTTCATTTATCACTACAAAATTCTTGTGCTCTGTATAAACCCAGATCTGTTTCCCCTTATTCATCTCCCCACTCCCCAGGTTGTTTGCTGTAGTTGCTTCTCCCTGCTCTGGCTCTGTCCTTCCCCACATTCAATTTCCATGAGTCTTGCCAAACTCTCAACCTATTCACCCTAATTTTTTGGCCTATATTTCTCTACTGCAAACCAAGAGTAAATCAATGCCACAAAAAGACATCCAGTGGAGGGGCAGAGTCAATTCCTGTATTGATAGCAAGGTACCAAAGGACTACGTACAATACAGTAGAAGTAAGAGAAAGTTACTCACCCTGTGCAGTAACTGAGGTTCTTTGAGATGGTTGTCCCTGTTGGCACTCCACTTTAGGTGATTCTCTGCTCCTGCACTTGTAATTGTAGATTTTTAGTAACAGTGCCTGGTTGGGTCACACATGCACAGTCTTCATCTTGCACCGCCTCAGGCAGTTATGTAGCGCTGTGTGACCAACCCTCCCTGGATTCCTTATCTACTGCAGAGCCTCTAGTGCGAAAAAACTCCAAAGTAGAGGGGAGGAAGGAGAGTAGTGAAGCACCCACAGGAACAACCATCTCGAAGAACCTCAGTTACTGCACAAGATGAGTAATCTTCTCTTCTTCATTGAGGAGTGTCCCTGTGGGTGCTCCACTTTAGGTGACTGTAGAGCAGTTCCCCTCTGTGGAAGGGAGGGGCTTTGGAGTTGCATGGCAGTTGATAAAACCGTAAGTCCAAGTACAGCATCTGATGCCAAGTGTTGCTCTATGGCATAGTGTTGTGTGAATGTATGGACTGTTGCCCAGGTGGCCGCTTTGCAGATGTCCATTATAGGCACATTATTGAGGAAGGCTATTGACGTTGAGAGTGCTCTGGTGGAATGAGTGTGGGTCCCTGGTTGGGGTTGTATCTGATGATGGCAATAGCAAAAGTCAATGCAGCCGGGGATCCATTTTGACAGCCTTTGTTTGGGTCTGGTGTCTCCCTTAGATCGTTTTTTGATGGAAGAAATAACTTTGGTGACTTTCTGAAAGACTTTGTCCTCTCAGTGTAAAAAGCTAGTGCCCTATGGGTGTCTAGGGTATGAAGCGTTGCTTCTTGTTTGTTCCCATGAATTTTTGGGGAAAACGATGGGAGATGAATGGGATGATTCAAATGACCAATTAAACTATTTTAGGTAGAAACTTGGGGTGTGGTCGTAGGGTAACTTTATTTTTGAAAAATATTGTGTATGGGGGATGTGCCATGAAGCCCTCCAGTTCTCCCACTCGTTGGGTGGATGTGATAGTGACAAGGAAGGCCGCCTTCATCAAGAGGTAGAGAAGTGAGCATGTTGCTAATGGTTCAAAAGCGGGCCCCATAAGGCATTGCAGCACCAGATTGAGGTCCCATGATGGAGTGGGGGCTCGTAGTTCTGCATAGAGGTTACAAAGACCCTAGAGAGAATGTTTAATGGTAGGGTGGGCGAACATTGAGAACTCGTCCACTTTGTGGTGGAATGCCGTGACTGCCCCAAGGTGTACTCTGATGGAGTTCATCGAGAAGCCCAATTTCTTGAGTTCCACTATGTAATCCAATACCACTGTTAAAGGAGAGGTAGTTGCCATTGTTTATCTATACTGCCATCATATATAGAA